AGCTATGAGGGTTCTGGGAGCTAAGCATGGGACTAAATTGAAGGTTTTACTGTTCAGTATATGACTTTCATGTAATTTGTATGTTTTCACCCTAGCAACTCACCCACATCCTCCACTATGTCTAAGGACAGCTACGTGTGGAGACTTGTGTTTAAATTTCTTTAGACAAACCTATCTCTAGTGGAGGGATAAGTTAGGTGTAAGTCTGGATGGAGGAAGGGAAGTGACCTGGCTGTGTTGGAGACCTTGGTATTAATTGTTCCATATGTAAGTTTCTCAACCAACCCCAGTTTTTAGTCTAACACTTCATTATTGCCATCAATGATCACAAGTGCTTCTCACTAACTAAGCCACTTCAAGATTCTGTGTGTTAAGCGCATACTGCCTCCAGCTGGCATCTTTTTCTGATAATTTCTAGCCTTTCTTCATTTCTGTTTTCACATCTTCTGGCATAGTGTTATGGGCATCTATCTCCTAGTTTCAAACATGGCATTTAAATATATTTTGAGAGATTATTTATAAGCGGGGGTGTTGCCCTGCCATCTCAAAAATCTTTAAGATATAATTACTACTTTATTTTGAAAATGTCTTCCCTATATTAAACATCAAAGCAATTTGACTAAGAAATGCACCGTCATGGAGCACCTGGGTGGCTCAGTTGGTTAAGTGTCCAACTTCGGCTCAGGTCATGATCTCACGGTTGTGGGTTCAAGTCCCATGTTGGGCTCTGTGCTGACAGCTTAGAACCTAGAATCTGCTTCGGATTCTGTGTTTCCCTCTCTCTACCTCCCCCACTTGCACTCTGTCTCTCTCAAAAATAAACAGGGGCGCCTGGGTGGCTCAGTCAGATGAGTGCCTGACTGCAACTCGGGTCATGATCTCACGGTTTGTGAGTTCAAGCCCTGAGTCGTGCTCTGTGCTTATGGCTCAAAGCCTGGAACCTGCTTCTGATTCTGTCTTCCTCTCTCTCTGCCTCTTTCTCTTCTGCTTACACTTTGGCTTGCTCGCTCTCAAAAATAAAAATAAAAAAAGAAAACATTAAAAAAATAAACATGTTAAAAAAAAAAAAAAAAGAAATGCACTGTCATGTCTGAGCAGGTAGTGGGTCCAGTATGTAACCCACGACAAATCAATGTGTTTTTTTTTTCTAGTCATGAATAACTACTTCTGGTTTTCATTTAGTAATTTCAATGGCTATATTTAATACTATGTATAATACATATAAGTCCATATCAGGGCTCTTTTCCAATCTCGTTCTTAATAGCTAATAGTCTTAACAAATTTTCATTTGCTAAATATGGAATTTGGGCTAGTGAGTCATCCATATTTAGTTAACACAACTGTATAATGTTCAGATAATATATCTACATATTACAAACACAAACATTAAGCCTGTGCTTATTGTTTTTTCCTGTTCTAAAACACCTTCTTAGAGGATACCAAAATTTCACCAACACACAATTGTGACTAAGCATGTGAATGAAATCTTTTTAGTTTTAGGAAAAAGAATCAAATTAATCCTAAAAGGAAGAGAGATGCTGACTCCAAGAGTACTACGATTAAGGAAACCAAGAGGGACATCCCTCTGGTTCTTTTCAATTTGATGCCATTCATGAAATCTTTTATTCATTTTATTTTTTCAAATGTTTATTTTTGAGAGAGAGAGAGAGAGAGAGAGAGAGAAAGAGAGTGAGTGGGAGAGCAACAGAGAGAGTGGGAGACACAGAATCTGAAGTAGGCTCCAGGCTCTGAGCTGTCAGCCCAGAGCCTGATGTGGGGCTCTAACCCACAAACCATGAGATCATGACCTGAGCCAAAGTTGGATGCTTAACCAACTGAGCCACCCAGGCGCCCCATGAAATCTCTTCTTAAACTGAGTTCATATTCATAAAAAAAAAAAAAATTATAATGGAGAAATTTATTTTTTCTTTCTCATGTCTTTATAGGGAGGCAGGGTTCATAAACCAAATATTAGAAGACTGGCAATGTTTTAATGCAATAGGCATAATCAACAATATAGTTCTTGAATAACTAGCACACTTTAGCCTCCAGCACCTTGTATACCAATGAGTCTATGCAAAACCAACTGATGAAAACTGTGGTCTGAGCTAATACAGGTCAAATGAAGTATTAGAATGACAGAGTGAAGCCAACAGGTCTGGATCCTGATCATTTAAATGAAACGAAAGAAGAGCAGGCAGTAATTGGTCGATCAACCTTTGTATCACCATATTATCCCTAGAGAAGGCTTTAACACAGGCCTGAAAGATGCTCAGTGTCCTCATGTAAGGCATAAAATGTTCTTCCCAAACTACAGACTTCTTTATAAACTAAAATGATATCCTTGAAACTATCTAGATCAGATATAAGACAGTTGCTCACTAGTTAATATCCCAGCTTAGATTTTCTATTAATCATTGTCTCAAAATATGATTATGAAAAAAAACATAAGAAGATCATAAATTAAATGTGTTCTTTTTCATTTAATAATCACAGAGGATGTTAAGACCGCAGATCAATTTGCTTCTAAAATGATTTAAACAGGAGTGCCTGGGTGGCTCAGCCGGTTAAGTCTGACTTGGGCTCAGGTCATGATCTCATGGTTTTTGAGTTCGAGCCCCACACTGGGCCCTGTGCTGACAGCTCAGAGCCTGGAGCCTGCTTTGGATTCTATGTCGCCCTCTCTCTCTGCCCTTCCCCCACATGCACTCTTTCTCTCTCAAAAATACAGTTAAAAACAATAAATAAAATGATTTAAACAATATTGACTACTTTGGTTGGACATAAGCTTATTTATTGTTTATAAATTATAACATAAAGAAAACAACACTTTAAAAAAGGCTGAATGCTGATAACAGCAAATCTTTCGAACTAAACTGCATTCAATTGTTTGGATGGCAGGATCTCACCACAGATTCAGAACTGTGTGGACAGCAATTCCATGAATATATTTTTTTAATTTTTTTAATGTTTACTTATTTTTGAGAGAGAAAGAGCGTAAGTGGGGGAGGGGCAAAGAGAGAGGGAGACACAGAATCCGAAGCAGGCTCCAGGCTCTGAGCTATCAGCACAGAGCCCGATGCGGGGATCAAACTCACAAACTGTGAGACCATGACCTGAGCCAAAGTAGGATGCTTAACCGACTGAGCCACCCACGCACCCCAATTCCATGAATATTTTTAAATGAGCACAGAAGAATTTAAAATAGAAAACATTTGAAAAATAGCAAAATAGGAAACATTTTTCTTCAATTGTGCAGGACTAAAGTATGGCAAAATGGTACAGTTCTTCACCAAATGGAACCATTAATTTCTTCATAACCTTCAAGCAACAAGGCCAATGACTAATAAGACTCCAACTGTGATTCCAACCAGGTCCACAATTTCTAATCTATTTATTTATTTAAACTATTTTTGTATTTATTTTTTTAGTATTTATTTATTTTGAGAGAGAGAGAAAGAGACAGAGACAGAGAGCACAAGAGGGGTAGAGAGAGAGAGAGAGAGGGAGCTAGAGAACCCAAGCAGGCTCAGCACTGTTAGTCCCCAATAGTCCTTTGCCGTCATCATTCAGAAAGGCTAAACCCGGGGCGCCTGGGTGGCGCAGTCGGTTAAGCGTCCGGCTTCAGCCAGGTCACGATCTC